GTTCATTTTTGACTCCAAAGCAAAAACTTAGGGGTGCAATTAGGAGGAGTGCATTAGGGCTGGGCCAAACCGGGGGGGGGGGGGTGTTTCCAGGGGCTAGGGACCATCAACTTTTTGATAGGAACACTGTAGGTACTCAATGCCAGAATATGACATCCAATTTAAATGTCAAAAAACTGCGGTGCTGTTTCATATGGCTTCCTAGTTTTTGAAATTGTTCTCCCATTACCCTTTATGAAAACAATTGTGTTGGTCGGGCAAAAAACCCCGTGCTCCAGTGGCATCATTGTGGCTCTCCCAAATTGGACCCGTGTGGGGGAATTGACTCTATGTTTTTCAGTACATTGCACAAATACTACATTGTAGCAAACTTAATAGTGCTAAAAAATGGGTTATAATTTTTCCCTCTTTCTAAATAAATCTCAACACACCACTTTTGTAATAATTGTGCCAAGAACAGGCAAAAACGTAGCTAGGGATGGAGAGAGTATTTATTATTATTATTATTATTATCACTATTACTATTACAATTCATATCACTATTATTATTATTTTGTCATCATCATCATCATCATCATCATCGTCATCACCATCATCATAATAAGGGAACTGACAATATATATCCATTATGACTTATACATGTGAAGAACGTGATATATATACATAACTCTTTAGATGAATCAATTATTGTTGGTAATAACTTAGATATGCGTTCAACATGCTCTATGGTTTTCTTTCTTTTTAATACCATGTAAGTATGAACAATTCCAAAGTGCTAGTGATCCATTTTGATCAGTTTTGGAGTGAAGTAATCTACAATTCAATAATAATTTAGTAATAAAATTTTAATCTTGAATTATCTGCGTCAGTCTTTTTTTGCATTTAGTGGTTATTTTGTAAAGATAGTATCGGGTAAAGATTGCATCTGGTATGTAACAACTATGTCTCATTTTGTGGCTACAATTGCATTTTAATCCCTTCCATTAGGGTTAGTATTACCCGTGATGCTTATTGTTGCAAATACTGAAGAAGTCCAGCCATGCATTCTCACTTGCCCACATTTATTTATCTTTTTGCAAATGGACCAAAGTTGCTCCTTCCTGGCTTGCCTCTGGTTTTAGCCAGGAGCCAGCCAGGTGCTCCGCTCCCACGGACATGCATAT